AGATTTACTACCAGTAGCTGTTCGCGGTTGCATGTGAGTAAGGTGACGTCTTGTATCATTGAACTTTCTAATATAATGAAAGCCATATGTGGGAAAGTTCTAATGGTTGAAGAACTTGATAAACTACAAGATCGAGTTGCCTTGACTTTATGCAACTTGGAGAAGATATTTCCGCCTTCATTCTTCACAATTATGGTGCATCTATTAATTCATCTTCCTCACGAAGCAAGAGTTGGTGGTCCCGTTTTCTATCGATGGATGTACCCTATAGAGAGGTGTTAATTGAATTACACGTTTCAAATTACTACTGATTATACATTTGAATAAAATGTATTTACGTAGTATGTTGTTTTCTGTATAGGTTCTTGGGCAAGTTGAAGTCTTATTGTCGTAATAAGCGTTATCCGGAAGGATCAATTGCTGAAGGGTATTTGGCAGAGGAATGTATGACATTTTGCTCTAGATATTTGGAACATGTTGAAACAAGATGGAATAGACCAAATCGAAATGATGAGTTAGGTACTGATGACTTAACTCAACATTATTTGTTTGGAAGTTATGGTCAACCATTAGGGAAAGTTGAAATTGCACATTTAGATGACACGTCTTGGGTACAAGCACACCGATATGTTCTTTTCCATCACGATTCAATAGATCACTTTCGCACGTAAGTCTTTCGGACTCAATACTAATGAAATCTCTTTATCTTTTATATTTATCAATTTTTAACGACATAATATTCTTTATAGTGAGTTTAAAGAAGTATTGAGATCTCGAGCACGCTCCCGAAGATTAAATCAGCGAGAGCTACATAAGTTATTCACAGAAACTTTTCATGAATGGTTAGGCAGACGGTAAGCAAATAAATCTTACGGAACACTTATAAATAATATATGTCTTGCTTTTTATATCGACATCAATGCAAATTAATTCACCATTCATGTGTAATAGGTTTGGAGTGGGAGAGAAGTTAGTGAAGAAGTTAAATGGCTTTCTCAAGGTCCGAATAGAATAGTTAAAAGATATAATGCCTTCCTCATTAATGGGTTCAGGTTTCACACGAAATCTCGTGAAAGATTAAGGAGGACACAAAATTGTGGAGTCGTAGTTACTTCATCAACTACAAGTTATGCTACTGTAAGGGACAATAATTCGCAGGATGGAGAGGTCGATTATTATGGAAATCTTACGGACATTATTGAGTTAGATTATTATGGAAAACGAAAGGTTGTGTTGTTTCGGTGTGACTGGGTTGATGTAAACAGATGTATAAAAAGAGATAAATTCGGGTTTTCAATGGTGAATTTCTCTCGATTAATTCACACGGGTCAACGTTTGATGGATGAACCATATGTATTTTCCTCTCAAGTGAAACAAGTATTTTATTGTCACGATCCAATGGATGACGGTTGGTATGTTGTGCTTCGAAATACTCCCAGAGACTTGATAGACATCGGGGATGGAAGTAGAGATGACATTGAAACAAGATCAGAGTGTTTACCTACTACCACAAAACTTAGATGAAACTATCAGTAATACAACACAATTTCAATGGGTTCGGGAGGACGTTGATGAAGATATTTATGACAACTGACATTACATAAGACTGTTGTACGATTTTATATCTTCATTTATTTATTTATAATGTTATAACCCTTAATATGTTGTCTTTCAATGTATTCATTAATTAAATCGTTTTTTATTACTCATGTTTGTTTATTACAGATATAATGCCGAGGAGAAAAATATCTGATTTGCGGGTTGTTCGAGCTTCTGAAGACCATGTAGAAAGAAATAACGAGGAAACGAATGCACCTGAGTCTTCCGAAGTTCCTGAAACTGTTGAAGAAGTAGAAATTCAAGGTAATCTTCGAAACTTTATTGACTACTTTGTTCATTTTCAAAACTGACATTTAATAATTTCTTATATAGTTGAAAATGCTGGAACGCGCAAGACTCGAGGACGTACCACTTTAAAGGAATTATACCAACTTCCTTCTGGGCATCGTGTCAAAGTTTCAAGAAACGATGCCGGTCAACCTATTGGCCCAGAATCACGTCTTCTAGCAGGTTACTTAGGCATAGTTGGACGTAATGCGAATCTGTTACCGATCAATTATGAGTCATGGCGCAAAATGCCTAATAGTAATAAAAATCAAGCGTTGGATTTTGTTAAGGTAATAATGTCATTATAATAGATACTCTATATAAATTCAATACTAATTTATACTTACGGTGCACACTTATTTGCTGTATAGGAGAAATTTGTTTTAGAGGTCTCTGACGATTATGTGAAGCAAGCGTTAGGGAAGAGATGGAGGGATCACAAGAGCTCCTTAAAGAAGAAATACTTCAAGAATGATCTCAGCCTTGAAGAGAAGTTGCAAACAGTCCCACCAGGAATGCTCAGGTACCAATGGGAAGATGCAGTCAGATTTTGGAGTTCTCAAAAAGGACAGGTATGATGTATTTTTCATAAATACTTGTAACAAAATTTAAATCATCATTATAAGTGGTTGTTTGACATTGTAGGACCGAGAGCATGTTGGTGTTGCTAGTAGGCAACAACAAAAGTTTACGCACACGGCTGGATCGAAGAGCTTTGCTTGTATAGCTCATGAGGAGGTATTATAGATTATTGAAATAGTTTTTTTGTATTCCATGTACATACTAACTCATAGTAATTACATTATGGTACATTGTAGGAAAATACATCCGGTTCTAAAGTTGGTCGAATCCAACTCTTCGACATGACACATACGAAGAATGATGGCACTCCTATGACTGCTGACGCTGCAGAAATTATGGTACGTTTATTGGGTAGATGTTTTAAATTTACCTGACTTTATTTATATTTGTACCATGACATTTTTTATTTTAATTAATTATTCACTTTATTATTAGGAAAAATTGAGGGAGAAAAGGGCAGAGTATCATGCTACTGCTTCGAGTCAAGGTATTGTTAATGATGATGACATTGAAAACCAAGCTATTAATGACGTTTTGGGTCCTGAAAGATATGGTCGGGTGCGCTGTCAAGGATCATTCGTTACTCCCACCAAATATTTTGGATTCAGTTCATCACAGTACATGTCATCACAGTCTCGATCTTCCCAATTAGAAGTTGGTCGTTTAAAATAAAAGTTGGCTGAGATGGATCAACAAATGGCTAACTTGAAAGCGGAAAATGAAGCAAGGGAAACAGAGAGAGCAGCAGCGGAAGCAGCTAGAGCAGCAGCGGAAGCAGAGAGAGAAGTAGCGGCAGCACAGAGAGAGGCAGCGGCAGAACAGAGAGAAGTAATATATCAGCAGAGATGTAAAGAATTTGAAAAATGACTCAATGATATGATGCTGATGATACAAAAAACGCAACCTCAGAATCCACCATCGTAGCCTCATTTATGTTATGAGCATTATGTTAATGTTACTGAACCGTGTTTAACTTAACCTATATTACGTTAATGAAAACTTTTATTTATTATATTGGATTTGATGTTATTGCTGTTTTGTTTGTTAGATAATGGAACAGGTTGAAAAAACAGATTTGGGGTATTAAGTATAATTTTTAGAATTGTTAAATTCTGTGTTATTTAGCGGCGTTTGTAACAAAATGCTGCAATATACCATACATTTAGCGGCGTTTTTGATAAAAACGCCGCAAAATCTCAATACATATTCTGCGGCGTTTTTAGGAAAACGCCGGTAAAAATAAAAATTTACTACGGAACGCCGCTAAACATCAACGACTATTGCGGCGTTTGTCTGCCAAATGCCGTTAAATATCAAAACCTATTGCGGCGTTTTAATGATAAACGCCGCTAAATATCAATACCTTTTGCGGCGTTTGTTGAACAATCGCCGCTATATGTTGTAACCTATTGCGGCGTTTTTTTGTTGAAAAACGCCGCAAACTTTAGCGGCGTTTTTTTTACGCCGTATGTGTTTTTAGCGGCGTTTAAAAACGCCGCTAGAAATAAAAAAATGCCGCAATAAGCCACTTTTGCTGTAGTGATGATAACGCCGCCGCCGCAGCAACCTTCACAACACCTTGATTAACGATGTCGGAGACTAATTTGGGGATGCTGGCGGCTCTTACTGCCTATTCTAGAGGTGGTCCGAACGTGGATTCCGACCAAAACAATCCCATGGAGCATCATCAACAAAAGGACAAGGTACTACAGATTGTGGAGATGAAGACCCAAATAATTGAGGTTGTAATTAGCTAACCTTGTTAGTTTTGATATTTGTCAAATTATGATTGTGATTCTTTTACCGAATGCTCTCAACCTGGTGTTAGGGACAACCTACTATCCTAGCTCCCTTTACCTCATTACATATCAGCTAATTTTATGAGTTGCATTGAGTTTTTTAATTTATTTAAATAAATTAATAGGGATAATTATGATTTCGATTGAGTTTTTAATTTATTTAAATTTAATTTGAGTATAGTACTCTTTTTATCTATTATCTAATTTAATTCAAATTTAAAGAAACTTCGTACGTATCAAAATTGATATTTTATAGTATGAACTTACACCTAATTTGACTGATATATATATATATATATATATATATATATTTAATAAAATGAGTACTTTATTAAAAGAAATATATAAAAGAGATATTATATTAATTATTTTTAAATATATAAAAATTAATTTATATTATTAGTCTATAGTTGAATCGGGTATTTATTATCTTAAATAAATACCGCATAAGACTCAAATTTGAGGAATTTTAATTTGACTTTATAAAATTGAATTTTTAATAGAAAATTTTGATTCTAATCATAGTCGAATTTATTGTGAAAAATTAGGTTCAAATTTTAATCTGATTCTATAAGACTCAAACTTTCACAGGCATGATTTACCCTCAAAACGACATGATTTAAAGAATGTCAACTGTATGTGCATACAATATATCCGACCGCATAGAATCACACCTTCACATCCCAACAGCTACAGACCAATGACAAACGGCGCGTAAGCTTCCATTTTGCAGTAGCTCATTGCTAAGTCGCTGTTCGTCACTAATTATTTCACTTTCAGATAACCTCAAAGTCGATTTTCCACCGGTTAGATCCGATAACTGTTTTAGGGTTTTAATTTCGCGGCAGCCGTAGAAGATGTCTATGTTGCAGCCGTGTTTCCAGCAATTCTCCTCCGCGTTTTCTCCGGCCTTCTCAATTTCGCTTCCTCCTCCGTCGTTCTACGTATCGGTTTCCCGCCGCAGCTTCACCTATTGTTGTTCATCGCTGTCCGAAACGGCTGTTTCCAATGGGAAACTCAATAGTAGAACCGCTGAAAGGGATGAGATTCGTCTCGGTTTGCCTAGCAAAGGTCGGATGGCTGCTGACACTCTCGATCTACTCAAGGTAATATTGGCTTAAATCTCTGTTTGTTCACCAGAAAAAAATGAAGTTTTATTTTAGTTATTACTTGGATTCAAACTTGATGTATTTTTGTTTATCAATTGATTTTCTCTGGATTTCTTTTGATTTATCGCTGAAATTGAAAAATTGAGGAGTATGCACTTGGTGTGCAAAAAATGCGTTGTATATAAAATCAGATTATGTTTATGAGAAATTAATTTAAACGTATGTCCAATGCGATGTATGACCTTTAATATCGTGCAATTTTATATATGAAATTTTGATTTGATTTAGTTTTCACGATTTACTTGTATTGTATTTATTTTCAAGGCAATTTTAATTGAATAAAAATTGTACTTTTATATAATTTATCCCGAATCAAAGTACATGTATCATCACATTGTATCAAAGTTAATGTGTAAATGTGAATTTATCCAATTTTTGAATAATAAAAATTTACATATTTCTAATATTTATGTTTGAATATTATGCACCATGCCCTCATTTTATCCTTCCTTTTTTTCTAAGGAAAATAAAAAACTCCATTACATTCTATGTTCTGACCCCTTCCATTATTCTGTATTTCTGGCAAAAGGATTGTCAATTGTCGGTTAAACAGGTAAACCCTAGGCAGTATGTTGCACAAATACCTCAGGTGTGTGCTATCTTTCTCTCTCACGATATGCATAGGTACTTAGGACCCATATCTGATTTATGGAGGATTGATATTCATCGCATAATTTGTTTTGTCGCAGCTTTCCAACTTAGAAGTTTGGTTTCAGCGGCCCAAAGACATTGTCCGGAAATTGTTATCTGGAGATTTAGATCTTGGTATTGTGGGGCTTGATACTGTCGGTGAGTATGGGCAGGTAAGTATTAAAGTGTAGGACATTATCACTAACGGCATTCTTTGGATCGGTCTGTCATTATCAAATTGTTACTGAAAATCTAAATATCTAATTCTATGCAGTCAATATGTTAGAATTCCAGCCTTGCAGATTATATTTGCCATTTCATCCTAGGCCTAGGTATATGTTATTGTTTGGGTTGTCTAGATTTAACCTTGTAGGTCATCTGTTACTAGACTTGTCCTTTTCTACCAATATGCAAAAAGAGTCCGTCTTGTGAAGAAATGAATGCAGAATAAAGCTTATAATTGTTTCTATACTTTAATCAGGGTGACGAGGACCTTATAATTGTTCACGATGCCCTTGAGTATGGAGATTGTCGTTTATCCATTGCAGTAAGCAAACCCTTTGTTACTATTACCTATCCAGCTGCTTCTTCCTGATATCCTCGCAATTGATGATTTGCATATGTTTGTTCAGATTCCAAGGTATGGGATCTTCGAGAATATCAATTCACTGAAGGAGCTAGCCCAGATGCCTCAGTGGACTGTTGATAGGCCTCTAAGAGTTGCAACTGGCTTCACCTATGTATGATATCCGCTACAATAATTTTTTACAATCATGTTGATTTTTGGAAATTCTTTTTGGTACCATCTGCTTTGGTTAGCTTATTACTTATTGTCGATTGTTTCAATTTGACTTAATTTCTTTTCTGTCTTTTCTACAAAGCTTGGTCCTAAATTTATGAAAGAAAACGGACTGAAACATGTGATATTTTCAACTGCTGATGGAGCCTTAGAGGCAGCTCCTGCGGTAAGAGTGAAAGTCTCTCGGAGTACCTGGAGTTTAGTTTTTATATGAAGTTATTTAAAATTGAATGAAAGAGTTGCACATCCTTCTACAGTTCTGTGTGTATCAATATTTTTATATCTTACTGAACACTTATTATCATGCATATTATTGCTTTCTTGAAGAATGCTTTTGCTTGAAACTTCAGTCTTCTGAGTATAGTTGCTCATACATTTCAGTTAATTTCTATGCTATCAATTCGCTGCTTAAGAGTCTTTAGATTGTTTCCCGGATTCATAAACTGTATATAGCTTAGTTCTCTTTCTTCATTGGGGCTTGTTTTTTTTTTTTTTTTTTTTTATTTTCTCTTTTTTCTGTAATTTAAGTTGTATAGTTATGCATATTTGATAGGCAATGAGAGAGAAAAAAATGTTTCTTTCCCATTTTGGTGTTGGATGATAAAAACAAAAAAAGAGTTAATGAAGCGAAGTGTGGCTGTCTACATGGAAAAAGGAAGAAATAATAAAAATAGCAATGAGACTAGTGTAGAAACTATGATACTAATCTGGGAAAGAAGCTTACCAGGCAATAAATAATCGAAAAGGGGTTGCCTAACTAAAAACTCCATATTGAATTCTTATTCATTTTGGGGGTGGCGGATTGGAAGCCCTTTATTAGTTGGTTAGTTGATCCTAAATGCAACTCTATTCTTTTCTTAAAGTTGAGGATATGAAGATATAGCTCAATTTACAATGTTTAAATGTAATTTGCTCTATTCTACCTGCCTTAGTTTCCTTTCTGTCTTTCATCCAATTGATATTGACTGAACAAAATGTTGCTACCTTAATGAAGTGATATTTGAAGAGCAGTTTGAAAAATTGACGGTCCATTTCTTATTAATATAGATGGGAATAGCTGATGCAATCTTGGACCTTGTGAGTAGTGGGACAACACTAAGAGAAAACAATTTGAAAGAAATTGAAGGTGGAGTTGTATTGGAAAGCCAGGTAAACCTGATATTATTCCTGCAATTTTCATGCTTGTTATCTTGTTGTTTGGAGTCTGTTATTTTAAAAGGATTTGTTTTCAGAATATCTTTCCTGATCTCTAGTCCATTATTCTTCAGGCTGTTCTAGTTGCAAGCCGAAAAGCGTTACTCCAGAGGAAGGGAGCACTAGACACGACACACGAGATCCTGGAAAGATTTGAGGCTCATTTGAGGGCAGTTGGTCAGTTCACGGTATGCATATTTGTTATTCTTTGTGGTTATCTTTTTCGTTTCCTCCCTGCATTCGTCATTCTTATTCTCTTATGGCAGGTAACTGCGAATATGAGGGGCAGTAGCGCAGAGGAAGTGGCTGAGCTAGTACTTAGTCAGCCATCATTGTCTGGGTTGCAGGTGAGGTTTGAAATCATTTTGCTCTCTGGACCCTCACTTTTTGATGAAATTATTACAAATTTTAATTTGAATTTATTAAATATTTTCCAAACACTATTACTAAATCTAAGAAGGCTCTTAAAATTATCCATGTTTGCATATTACAGGGGCCCACAATATCTCCAGTTTTTAGCAGGCGTGGTGGAAAAGTAGCTGCCGACTTCTATGCAATAGTCATATGCGTACCAAAGAAAGCGCTATATAAATCTGTGCAACAGTTGAGAGCGGTAAGTCATGATGAATTGTAATAAATACTACCTATATGTTATGGAAACTGTGGTTTTCATACTTGCACAAAAAAAGAAGAATTTGTTGGGTTTTAGGTGGTTGCTAAAGATCATTGCTATTATTTTAGGCAATGCTACCGAATTCAACACTAGTAGTTATTTATTAAGGTTTCAGTTACACCCAATTACATGGTTGAAAATAACAGTCCGCTCCCCCTTCCCCACCAAAAAAAGGAGGGAGTGCAATAAGAACAAGGGTTTAAGCACTGCACATCATAATCGGTGAATTTGAATGTTTTCTGTTGCAGATTGGAGGAAGTGGAGTGCTAATTTCACCATTGACCTACATTTTTGATGAAGAGACCCCAAAATGGAGGGAATTTCTCTCAAAACTTGGCCTCTAGTCCTTTACGATGGGTACGAGGGTGGTTTACTTGCATTTCATAGCAGAAGTTTTGAAGCCTTTAAGGTACCAAGGTGGATCGGAAACTACTTCGGCGAGAGTAAGAACCTCCATAGATTTTGTATACTGCCCCTTGTTCTTTTATCTGTTTTCCCTATGTTATCCTTGTTGCAACCATAATGATGATTTAGAGAACATGTTTCCCTTTTTGTATGTGCATGTAAGAAGATACTTGGGAATAATTTGTATAGATACTAATTTGCACTTCTTGTTGAAAAAGAGTCGCTGGATGGACGTACAATGCTAGCTTTTCTTCTGATAAAACTCGTGTTCTGTTTATAATCACGCACGATATCATCGATGTTATCATTTGACTTGTGTTGAATTATGTTTCGATATAACAAATTTAAAGGTAAAATGTTTTTGGACTTGAATTGAATTTATTTAAAATTTTAAAAATGTTTCAAAAATAATTCAAAGTCCATTAAATTCGGATTTCAGTAAAAATGCTAAAGGGTGTCAAAGTGCATTCATGGACCCCTGCAGTACATCGATGCACCTGCCACTAGTGCATCAATGCACCATGTAGTGTATCCATGCACTCCATTTCGAATGCAATTAGTGCATCGATGCATCTTGATGTGCATCCATGCACAAAGGCTACAACGGCTAGTTTATTTGAATTTAATGAAGGGGTATCAATGCACCTTGATAGTGCACCAATGCACCATGTTATGGGCAGCCTTTTTTAGTAGAAAAATCATCCCCAAACGGCTCCAAAACATCCCCAACGGTTATATACGACATCAAACACATTCCAAGCTATAAATACAAGCTAAGGACACTTGAAGAAATAAGAGAACTATCCAAACAATCAAACACAAGTGAAGAGTTTTTCAATATTATTTCATCTTTCTCTTGTAAATATTTTGTTCTTGTGAGCTCAATCTTATAAACACCTACCTTAGAGAGATTTTCTTGTTTACTTATTTTATCCTTTTGTAAAGGGGAAAGGTTCTATCTTATCCCGTGTAAAAGCTAGGGAAAGGTTCTAGTTTAGTCCGAAAAAACTAGGGAGTTGTAAGGTTATCTCTTTGTCCTCAAAAGAAATAACAAATTAGTGAATTTGTTGGAAAATCCTTGGTGAGGAGCTAAGGTAGTGGACGTAGACTTTGGTTTAGAAAGTTGAACCACTCTAAATCGCTATGCAATTTTCTATCTTTCAATCTCCTTACTCTCTAAACTCAAAAACCGTTCCGATCCCTCTTTGTAAATCGTTCCGGTTATCGAATCGAGCTTCCGAAAATCCCAACAATTGGCATCAGAGTCTAACTCGTTAAGAAGGTTTAACCACCTTGAGACAATCCTCGAAGAAGCTCTACCAATTTCCGACGCAACCGACAAAGAAATGACTTTTTCCTCCGGTGCTTATTATCTTGAAGAATATCCTATTATGGATTCACAACCGGTCAACAAGTCACCCTTCTTCAATGGAGCAAATTATGCACATTGGAAGAATAAGATGATGTACTTTATTCAATCCTACAATCTAGGAGCTTGGAACTCAATCATGGACAGGTACTCCTCTCCACCCAACAAGTACAACGATTGGAGTAGAGAAGAGCAGAAAAAATTTCAGCTTAATTCTAAGGCTATACATATTCTATTATGTGCTTTAGGCCCAAATGAATATGGAAGAATCTCATCTTGTTCCAGTTCCAAAGAGATTTGGGATAAGCTCCAAGTCACTCATGAAGGAACCGACGAAGTGAGGGAATCAAAGAAAAGTCTTCTCAACTATAGCTATGAGAACTTCAAGATGAAACCCGATGAAGACATCAAAGCTATGACGGATAGATTTTCCGTGATTGTCAACGGTCTCAAGGGATATGGAGATGTAATCTCAAATGTGAAGCTTGTGAGGAAGATGATCTACTTTATTCCAAAGGAGTGGCAATCAAAGAAGACGGCAATTATCGAAGCAAGAAACCTAAAGTCTCTCACTCTCGACGAGCTAATTGGTTCCCTTCTCACTCATGAGATGATGGTGAAGGAAGATGAAGAAAGGGAAGAGAAGAAAAACAAGAAGAAGAAGAAGAAGAATGAGGTAGACATTGCCTTCAAATCCACCAATGAAAGCTATCAAGATTCAAGTGATGAGGCGGATGAAGACGATGATGAACAAGAAGAAGAGATGGTCAAGCTCTTGAAGGAACTCAAGAGATTCATGATTTCCAAGGAAGTGAAACATGAATCAACCAAGAAGAAGAGTCCCCCAGTATGTTTCAATTGTCAAAGAAAGGGGCATGTCAAGTATGAATGTCATATTTTAAAGAAAATGGGGAAGAAGGCATTTGTTGCATCTTGGAGTGATGAAGATGATTCCAATGATGAAGATGAAGTAGTCAACATATGCCTCATGACCACTCAAGAAGAATTCGAGGTATCTTCTAACTCAAATGAATTTAATTCATTTACTTTTGATGAGTTACAAGATGCTTATAATAGGTTGTAGTTGGGATTTGAGACCATGAATTCCAAATATACGAAATTAATTTCAAAACTCAAAATTAAAGATAATTTGATTTTGAAAGCAAAAGTTGATTTTGAAAATCAAAATGAAATTTTGAAAAATAATTTAGAGCTTTCAAAAATTAAAATAAATGATTTAGAAAAAGAAAATTTTGAGTTAGGAGTTAAGCTTGAAAGCTTAATAAAAGAAAAAGAATTAATTTCTAAAAACAACCTATTATGTTTAAATATGGCAAAAAGCTCACATTGTCATTATCATGGTCATATGGAACATACTTGCCCTTTGAAGAAAGGAAAACATTTTAAAATTAGACAAGTATGGGTTCCGAAAGGAACAAGGGGCATTGAAACTAACGTTCAAGGATCCAAAGCAATTTGGATACCAAAATCTACTTAAATGTCTCTTGTAGGTGTGTGGGAGCAATGGTGATGAAAATGATGATATTCAAGATGCTCTAACCACACATGAAAAGGAATGGGTAACCTCTAAGCTTTTGGTTGCTCATAGGATTTATGCATGCATGAGTTTTGATTTTAAATGATTATGCATTGTTTTTAATCTCATGTATGTTAAAAAAATGGTTATGATGAATATTTTAAATTTTGAATGATTTTTTTTTATTTTTAGTTCATCATAATAAAATTTTGGTCAAAATTGGTTTTAATGCAAATGATATCTCTCTAACATTTGATATCAATTTTTCAAAAACTTTGGTTTTACAAATTTTAAATTTTTGACCTAAATTTAAATGTTTATGCATGTGATTTAAATGAAAATGATATCTCTCTAACAATTGATATCAAAATTTTCAAATGCATAACATTTTTGGAAAACTTTATGTATATGCACTTAATTTCAATAATTAATATTGCATAAAGTATTTTAGACTTGGATATATTGAATTTCATGTACTACTAACATGTTTGTTATTCTTTGTTGAAATTCAATTTTGTTTAAGTGTCATGATCCTAAAAGCTTAATTTTGTTTAGAATGTATTTATTGAGGGGGAGCTTTGATTTTTCAAATGATTTTTAAAATTTTAAAATTACTACTTACTCTCCAAAGTTATTTTGAACTTCAAAGATTGAATTATTTTTAATATAACAAAAAGGGGGGAGAAGTTTTGGTTTGAAAAAATCAATTCTTAATGAAAAAGGGGGAGCTTAACATTTTCATATATTTTCAAACAATTGGTAACAATTGATATCATTTTGTTAACAATTGGTATATTTTTCATTAAACATTTTATTAAGGGGGGGTTTTGCCAAAAACAATTTTTCAAATATTTTGTTATATAAAAAAGGGGGAGATTGTTGAATTATGTTTCAATATAACGAATTTAAAGGTAAAATATTTTTGGACTTGAATTGAATTTATTCAAAGTTTTAAAAATGTTTCAAAAATAATTCAAAGTCCATTAAATTAGGATTTGAGCAAAAATGCTAAAGGGTGTCAAAGTGCATCCATGCACCTGCCACTAGTGCATCGATACACCATGTAGTGCATTCATGCACTTCATTTCGAATGTAATTAGTGCATCGATGCATCCTGCTGTGCATCCATGCACCAAGGCTGCAACGACTAGTAACATTTAGTTTATTTGAATTTAATGAAGGGGTATCGATGCACCTTGATAGTGCACTGATGCACCATGTTATGGGCAGCCTTTTTGAGTAGAAAAATCATCCCCAAACGGCTCCTAAACATCCCCAACGGTTATATACGACATCAAACACATTTCAAGCTATAAATACAAGTTAAGGACACTTGAAGAAGTAAGAGAACAACTATCCAAGCAATCAAACACAAGAGAAGAGTTTTTCAATCTTATTTCATCTTTCTATTGTAAATATTTTGTTCTTGTGAGCTCAATCTTGTAAACACCTACCTTAGAGAGGTTTTTTTGTTTACTTATTTATCCTTTTGTAAAGGGAAAATGTTCTAGCTTATCTCATGTAAAAGCTAGGGAAAGGTTCTAGTTTAGCCCGGAAAACTAGGGAGTTGTAAGGTTATCTCTTTGTCCTCAAAAGAAAGAACAAATTAGTGAATTTGTTGGAAAATCCTTGGTGAGGAGCTAAGGTAGTGGATGTAGACTTTGGTTTAGAAAGTCGAACCACTCTAAATCGTTGTGCAATTTTCTATATTTCAATCTCCTTACTCCCTAAACTCAAAAACCGTTCCGACCCCTCTTTGCAAACCGTTCGATTGTCGAATCGAGGTTCCAAAAATCCCAACAACTTGGTTATATGGCGCGATGCTCTCATATTCTTCTTATATATATATATATATATATATATATATATATATATATATATATATATACACACACACTTGTGCAGATGTAGTTGCTAGAACTTAAGATCTCTAAGGAAAATAACATTCCTTTTAATCACTTCAATCACTCGATATAAACCAAATTCAAATTGTGAGAAAAATGAAAATGATGTGATAAATTAAATTTAAATTTGACATGCTAATATCTAATTCATTAATAGTATATAAATTAGTATTAAAGTATCAAATATCAAACTTAATATATTTATAATTTTAGTTCACTGTCAGTGACAAATATTTCACAATCAGTGATAGAATCATAACAGATGTTATTATAATAAATTTAAAAATTAAGAAAATATAAAGTTTGTCACTATTTAATCCATATATTACTATTTATGACTCGCAATGGCATCCAAAGAGAAATCAATATAGAAACTATACAGCAGGATGTCACCATTCATACAAGTTTTACACTCCCGGCAACAAATGCCATTATTTGGGAACCATTTTGTT